GATATGATATCTGTAGGATCTGTATAGTATATGATATGATATCTGTAGGATCTGTAGAGTATATGATATGATATCTGTAGAATCTTTAGAGCAATCGACCGCTATCTCTTACATCCATTTACTACCCGTGATGCATTACTTTTGCCGCTTTAGTCGACTCGTTACTACAATGCAATTTAATACTTATTCTTGGTTTCAGACGGTCGTGAGATGAATCGAATGGGAATGTTCGTAGATATTTCTCACGTCTCGGCAAAAACAATGCACGATGTTCTTGACGTGTCTACTGCACCAGGTAAGGTTTATCTGCCCCAGAACAGAGAAACAGAACATGTGAAATAAAGCAGTCGAAGTGATACAGTTGAGAAGAATCCTACGTTTATTGTAATGTCATGATTACGCATGCTCAATTTTGATACGAGTCTAGCTATCCCACATGGCTGAGTGCTTCATTGATTGCCTCGTTTGTTATATTAAAATTAGTATTTTTTGCTGTTTTTYAGTGATTTTCAGTCATTCCTCGGCGTACGCCCTGTGCAACAGTTCTAGAAATGTACCAGATGACGTCCTGGAGAAAATGGTAAGTTTAATAATCGAGTTGTACCCAAAACTTTACTTGATACTCCCACGATGCATTGCGGCTATAACCGCTGACCAGCAGATGTTTCATGTGTATATCATTATTTATTTCTCGTTAGCCCAAAAATGGTGGCGTTGTCATGGTGAACTTTTACAACTGGTTCGTGACTTGTAAACCAAATGCGACTTTGAATGACGTTGCAGGTAAAAATAATAATAATGTCAAAGTCAAATGTACATCAGATTAAGAGATATTTGTAGATAACAGCTGGGTGATTGTGAAAATGCGACTAGCCAATCAGCAACATAACCCCCCCACGGGAGGAATTTGCACAGCAAAACTCGACCCAGTGGAGTAGGCTGCCTGTCATTTTATTCTATCCGAAAAATCGAAGCTAAAACGCAAAGTGAAATTGAAAATCTTTATAAAATAGCTTTTAAATGTCAATCAAATATTTATCTATATTAATCTTATGCAAATTGTTGCTTTCTCATTCAAAAGGCAATGTGCAGAGACGCCATTTTGTACGAATGATTGGAGTGGTACTTTTTATAACCCTTGTAAATTTCTCCAAAGCCGGTTTTTTTTTCTTCTATTTTTACAAAGACGTCCATTTGTTTTAGTGGACAACTCCCATCATGCCTTGTTGCACAATTTAATGGCGTCGTTGCACATTTCCTGTTGATACAGGGAAATATATGTTATTTACCGGCTGGGAGGTCTGTATAGGAAAACACTGCCCGAGGTCTTGACAGTACGGAACGAGCGCAGCGAGGTCCTTACGTAAAAGACCGAGGGCAGTGTTTTCCTATACGGACCGACCTATAGCCGGTAAATAACATTTTTATTTTTTTTATTTGTACTAGCCTAGCTGTAGGATACCGTCGGACCTGGCAGATCGTGAAAAACCGGACCGCGCGCTAGCCAATCATAGCGCGCAAATGACTAGGATGCCTGACCGAAAAAAATAATTATCATTATCATTATCATTGTTATTGTCATAATTGCTATCTCCTTCACTGTGGCCAGAATTATCATTATAGTATAATTGATAAATTGTTCTTTTAAAGACCACTTCGATCACATCAAGAAAGTGGCAGGAATTGACTATGTGGGACTTGGAGGTGACTACGATGGTGTGCCCAGGTACAAGTCAASTGAATGTCTTATCATATCAAATATAGATTATTCAAATAACATCCTGTTAATCTGAACTAATATACTATAGCGACTTATAGTCCAAAGTAACAATATGATTATTGTCTCCAATGAATCGTTCGTTCTGTCTTTACAGCGTACCGACTGGWCTRGAAGATGTGTCCAAGTACCCTGATCTACTGGAAGAGCTTCTCCGACGTGGTTACAGTGATGARGACATCAGGAAAATTGCGGGCTTAAACTTGCTTCGAGCCATGAAGAAGATGGAACAGGTGAGATYACAGAGAAGCAAAGAGTAGCAGARCAGTTATACTTGAGTCTTGACATTTTATACATCTCCACAGGTTGCCAAGGAAACGCAATCACGTGTCAARCCCTACGATAAYTTCATAGCAGTGAACAAGACATGCAGACCTTTGTTTAGCTTTCCTTACTAAAKATYTAATTWTAACTGCTGGCTATRATTATACAGTATTTGGTATATTATATMATTTTACAGTATTTTTATACCTTGTGAAAATTGAAATTGAAATTGTGCGTGGTAGCCGGGACTTCCCATTCTTTTAATCTCAAAAAAATACCAGATACATAGATGCGCGGCCGGACTTTTGCAGCTTCATTTTTACTGATGCAATATGKCAGATAAAAATTCTAATTAAAAAGAGCATCTAAAAAATTACAGGCAAAACTTCATTCCAACTATGGTCATCCATGAAAAAGATGGAACAGGTACTTTGCCCCTGAATTTTAAAAAGAAAAACTAGCACCAAATAGTCGTCCATCTTTATGTCATTTCTTCCATGATTGTTGCAGAGAGGTTTCATGCTCTAGTCTCCAAGTGATGAGAGAGTTTACCACCTCATGGTGATCCCGAAGTATTGGATAGGCACGATTTAMATAATTTAACAAACTCAAATCTAACAGCAACATACTTGAAAACGCTTGAGATTCTATACAAGAAACCTTTCAAGTCACTTCATGCTGAAGTACTATAAATGTCACTTTTGAAGAGAGTCTGTCAGGCATGGCATTCGGTCTCCAAACGTCTTCARAAGCTTGCTATGTATTGCATTCGTCTTATAACAAATGCAGCCAAGACCATAGTTGGGCAGAGAGGACTAATAACTGTGCTCAAACAACTAAATCTTTTATAACCTACTAGTACCTCATTTAAGTTTGGCAATTGATTATGAATGCTTGGAAAGTGGCTGTGTTAAGACGTGTGTGTCTGGGGGAGGCGGAGACTCAAGGAATGGATGTGACATTGAAACACGTCTCCCACCCCCTAGTGCTGCAAAACAAGTTACTTCTTTGTGTACATCGTTGACTTGACTTCCCCGGATCCTTATACCTCCTCATCCATGACAAATTAATGCCCCATGCCCAGCCATCRCGTAGTCTTGTTTTGCTAATGTGATCACATTCAAGTTTGAGCTTTATTTGGTCTTCTATACTTTTGTGATATAATATCCACAATCATGAATCGAAAGYTGCTCATAATCATTGGTGCTGTAGTCGTTCTGATATTAGTCATAGTAATTGTCTTAGCTGTTGTGCTTAGTGGAAAAGATGACGAAAAGCCAAAGCCGACAATTCGACAACGAGTKATGGCTGCATTAGAAGACGTTCCACTGATCGATGGGTTTGTATATCCTAAAAAAATTGGTTTTGGAAACTTTGACTAAAATCTTGTTTGWCATACAGCTCTTTTGCACAAATTTTGAATTAATCTTTTTCGCTCCATTGAATTTGTAGTTAAGTATGCAAAAGAGTGGTGTCTTCATGATGCCCGTCCGGCGCAAGTCTTTATAAATCGTTTTTCATTGAATTCCAATTGTTTTCTAATTATTTCAATTATTTTTGGGGTTAACTTTTGTATAACTTGGTTCGTTTTTGCATAAAACGTGCCTCATAACCACTAGCCCATCCTRTCTTTTCATTATAACCGTTGAATGTTTGCATAAGTATTCAAAAGTCATTAAAATAGTAAACCCATTACTAGCCATACTTTATTGGCAATAAGATCAGAATCATTTTTAGATAAGGTCYCCTTTTCGAAATATAAATTGTTTTGTCAGGCTATGCATTTAGTAAGTTTCCTTTGTATCGAGATGACATTGTCCTTCGCACTCTCCTATAATGTTCAATGAAGTTCCGAGTAAAATGAACAGAACAAGTTAAACCTGTTTAGAATTCCTAGATAATCCCTCAACATCGATCAAAAGTGCAGACAACTTCTTRCATGTGCAGAAATACTAAATGCCAAGCATCGAAGCAAGC